GTACAAAAACTCATTGAGGACTTTAGAACCGTAGGGCTGGAGGTAAACCAGGGGAAGTGTGAACTGATCATACTGAACCATTCAAGAGAGGAAGAGCTCGAAACCGAGATGTTTCGGGGGGTGTTGCCAATACTAAAAGTTGTTCCCGCCCATAAGTCACTTTTACTGGGTGCCCCACTCCACGAGGAGGGCGTCTCCGCCGTTATCCGGGAGAAGTGGGAGGGCTTGGAGAGGATGGTTGAGCATTTAAAATTGATTGATAGTCATCAAGCATCTAAGCTTTCAAAGAATTGTTTTGCTCTACCTAAACTCCAATACGTCCTACGTGCATCTCCCGCATATACGTGGGTAGGTGATTTGGAGCGGTTCGATGAGGTGTTTGTTTCTGCCCTCTCGACCATCACCAATGTCAGCTTCGAGCGCGAATCTCTTTAACAAGCTGTGTTACTGGTCCGGCTGGGAGGTCTGGGTATCCGTATGTCAAAGGACATCGCGCTCCCTGCAGCTTTACTGTCGTCGGACGCGCCTCTGGAGATGCCGATTAGGGATGGGAACCTGCCCAGCCTGGCACATCTCCTCATAGACGAGCCTCTCTCTGCCCCGTCCAGTGACACGCCTTCGCTCTCACTGCTGCTGCTGCTGCTAGCTTTGCCCGCTGCAACAATAACGAATGATTTAGTTCGGATTAAGGACTGTGTTAGGGATTACAATAGGGTTCGTTAAATTTGTCATTTCCGTTTAGATTCACCACCGGTGACTTCGCAAATGAATGTTTACTTATTTGTCATTGCTATGTGATCCACCACAGAGCTCGGCTCCGATGTTAGGACATGATCAGGAATTAATAGGCAAGGGCTAGAAAGACACGCGGTTTATAGTTTTGATATTTGTTTTCTTGTATTAGTCTATCATTTGTTATTATATTTGTTGATTTATAAGTTTTTCTTCATCCTTTGCTTGCGATCATCGGCCACGTGTTTGGGGTTAGAATGCTTATTTATTGAATAGTCCCCAACAACTGCCTAAATAATTTATTGCTGCTAGCTTTGCCCGCTGCAACAATAACGAATGATTTATCTCTGATTAAGGACTGCCTAAATAATTTATTGCTGGACTGCAACAATAACGCCTAATTTATTTCGGATTAAGGACTGCCTAAATAATTTATTGCTGGAACAGCATTATCATACTTAAGAAATTGGTTTAAATCTTGAGTTTTGGGAAAATTAAAAATGAACTGATTCCAAAAAAAGCTCTGGTTTGCCACTATGCATGAAACCATTCCCTGTTTTTAATTAATAAAATTAATTCCTTTTTGTTGGGATGGTGAGTGTGGGAGGCCTTTAAAAAAAATTGGCAGGATCGTTGAAGACTTGAAGTAGAGACTAGAGTGGATTGCAGAAGTTGAAAATTTGAGGAGAATTTGAGGAGGAGAACAAACCTCAATTGAGGAACAAACAAACCTCAATTTTTTCAATCAAAAAAAAAAAATACATGACATTGGAGCTGCAATATTTCAGAAAAATATAGGTTTTTTCCAGCCCTGGTGTGGCGAGTAAGGGATATAGCTAGGTACTATCCAAGTTGCTTGCAGTACTACTTTCTTATTAAAAATTACCCGGCAACAGATCTTGAAAATGGCTGGCGACACTCTAGTCTGGAAAAGTCCTATTTTTGTCTGAAATATCGTGGCTCTAATATCATATAATTTCAGTAGGTATGAAATCTCGCGGCTCGAATGTCATAAATTTTTGTTTGATTAAAAAATCGCGGTTTGCACTTCGCAAACATGTCATTTCATAAAATTTTCAACTTCCGCAATCCGCATTGCTTTACCGTTGTCTCTTATACACATCTAGATGTGTATAAGAGACAGCAACTGGGCCACTCATAATTCCTTAAATACTTAACGGATCTGCATGAATTTTGGAATGTGAGTATTAATTATCTATACGCTGCCGCAGGAATTATTACAGATTTTAACATGAATTATTTTTTAATTAAAACCAATAAACGTATTTTTTAAGCAACTGGGACACTCATAATTCCTTCAATACTTAACGGATCTGCTCGAATTTTGGAATGTGAGTATTAATTATCGATACGCTGCCGCATGAATTATTACAGATTTTTACAGGACTTATTATTAGGTTAGGTTGGGTTAGGTTAGGAAATAATTCATGCAAAAATCTGTAATAATTCCTGCGGCAGCGTATCGATAATTAATACTCACATTCCAAAATTCATACAGATCCGTTAAGTATTTAAGGAATTGAGTGTCCCAGTTGCGCGAGTCCGCAGGCGGGTCCGTAGAATTGTCGATTGAGTTAAAAGGCCAAGATCGGTTTCGACTGGACGAAATTATGCGTGGAAAACCTGCCAAAACTTTGCGTTTAACGCTCTTGTTAAAATCGAATCAGATAAAATTATTCTGTTGGTGCTAGCATTAAGCTGTGAAATTTTTTATTAGTTAAGTGTGGTGGGGAGCGCAGCCGTGCACCACCAATTTTGTGCACCAATAAGCCCTGAATCGAACGCCTTGGATCTCTCCGGACCTACACGAATTAGCCGTGCACCACTCGGCTTTGTCCCCTTCCGGCCATGACCACTGTCGTGACTAGATAATATTATAGTGTATAATCTCAAAGCTGAGAGATATTATAATTTCTTTGAGATTATTAGTTGTAAAGCTGTACTATGTCGCATAGTTAATACTGTAATTATGACGATGCTCGTGAACTTTGGCCGATAGCTTCACAAATAACTAAAATAAATAATCATCTTCGTAAGCCAGTTAACCATGGCCAGTCCATAACTATAAAATGTTCCGATGATTTACATTAGTTTTAAGCCCTAATAGGGTTAAATAATATTATTCTGTAAGTCATAGAATAAGTGTAAGCTAAAAATCTTCTTCACGCGACTCGGGCAACATCGCTTGCCGAGCTTCAGAACCGTTACGAGCTATTCGAAATAAGACGCGCTGCCGTTCGGTGATACCAAAATTACTCGAGAATAGCTTACGAATAACACTGGGTCTCTAATTCGGATTTCATACATGAGAATTTACCTCACATTTGACATTTGATCACCACGTTGCAAAGTGAGGCAGAATCTGAATAATAAACCAGAAACCCAGACTCTCATTATATCCACCAACCTTCTGGATTCCTCCGGTTACCCCGACCACGCCATTACCTATATTGTTACCAAATTACCGGTTACTCATCGACTCCACACCACCACCTGCCGTGCACCAAAAGGCCGCGGATGGAATATGACTTCCAGGCATCGTTAAATTACGTAATTTTACGTTCACCGCATCTGAGGTTAGGTTTCAGATAGCAAAGTTCTGTTTCAAAATTTATTGTCCTTCGACGAGTGGCCATTCGACCGAGGGCTGGTACGACGCACGGCCTATATGTGATTGTCCAGAAGTGTTGAAGGCTACGTTCCGGAAGGCAAGAATTATGATGGTCCATTACATCCAGGGCAGTGGTGGTTCGGCAGGAGACCCTGCAATATCAGTACAACGCACACGATCAATCAATTAACCAAAAGTATTAGATTACGAGACAAAAGTCGTCTCAAAATCTCGTCACGATTGTAAAGTTGGCCTTTTTTGTTCGAAAATATTTCAATAAACTATTAGCATCCTTTTCTTAGTTTGTCTAATAATTCTAATGCATTTTAGATAGGCGAAGATCGAACGACTTTCTTTCCCAGCCTGGGATATTTTGTCAGCCTATGCCCAGCGCGAAGTCGCGAACCCCATGAGCTAAGGAGGAGTCAGGAGCAACCTCACAACAAAGGGAGTAAGTAGAAGACTGTTGCCATGTTCATGCTATGAAACTTTAGTTATTGTTGCCTGCCGCATGGCGACGTCACTAAAAGTCTACCTCTGCAGGCTCCACGCTTTTGGAGACGAATAAAATATCCCTAGATTCGGGAGAGGCCGAGTTCGTTTGACAGCATAACCCTCTACCGCCGTATGTCACTCTCCGGGAATATAACTTTCAAATACATTACACGGAAACTATCAAGTGTAGCAACCTGGGGACGTTTGTACGCAACAGAGAACATTTTAAAGTTGTCGTACGTGGTGGCAACCATCAGTGCAAGTCATTATGCGCTCATTTGAACGTATCCTTTTTGGGAAGCATAGGCTCGTGACAATATTGCTCCAGTTACTCATGTCAGGCGGTAGAGGGTTAAGATTCAGTCATCTGAGAGAATTCGAAAAGTTTACAAAGTCTCGGCAGTATTTATTTATCTTTTCGCGAACACATATGGGAAGCTTCATGCAGTGAGCATTTTCGTGAAGTAAAAAACAATTGAAATCAATAACAGCTCGGAAACGAGACCAGTCAATTCTTTTCGACCGCGTTTGAACTTACGGAAATGTGCCGTAAAAACTATTACAAAATTTAAACACAAAATTAGACTGCTCAAGACAAACTAAACTTTACACCTATCATTTTTCGACGATTGGTCCCGCAAATGTAGGCACTGAAAACCCAACGCAGTGGCTCTTTGTCTGCTGTACAAATTATCAAGAAGCCTAACTAGTCGCAAGATCGCTTATGAAACCTTATGCTTACGTCAACTATAATTCCAGTATACTTAGTAAGTCGCCCATATGAAGTTCAGAAAACAGCAAACCACTTAGAGCGCCTCTGCACACCAATATTTGCAGTTATAATCAGGTCCAACCGGTTGCAACTTCACAGTTCACATGACTGTCTTGAAACGTAATAGCTCATTATTTGCTCTATATGAGAAATCTATCAGAGCCAATCAACAGGTATTCTTCTAGCCACAGGCATGGTCTCCATGTCAACTTTGTCTACTGATACATGGACAGTCATTAGTATTCGTGGCCATAGGCCGATATGCGAGAGTTTGTCAGTAGACCACAGCTTTTAAGCTAAAAAACGTGTTATTCGGTGAAAAGTATAAATATAATCCACATTGGTAAATGTGAGCAAGAACGAAGCGAGTTACCGCCAACCGATTATCAATCATTTTATTGAAGCAACTTTGAAACCGTAACAACTTGATTTTTAAGGAACGAAAATTTTCAAGATTTATTTTGATAAAAAATAAACAATGTAAATCAAGTGAAACAAAAAAGTAACGCATGATCGAGAAACCGGCACCAAAATTACGAATAAATCTAATTGCCAACGGAGCATCCTTTAAAAAATGTAGCATTTCTTGCTCGAAAAATAATAACTTCAGCACAGTTCAAAGAAAATTACTTGGCTACTGGAAAAGAAGTTACTGGGCAAAATTATACATTAAAACAAGCAACACCTACAGAAGCAACTAACATAAGTTCAAATAAATTCAATGTCTCAACAATGTAAAATAAAATTTTAGCAAGCAATAAACGATTTAAACAGGTTATCTATAAAATTAGATTTCATAGATTCTGGCAGTAACGAAACCCTTGCAAGTTTTATAGCACGATATGCTGCACAGTTATTCTACGATGTTGGTTCTGAACGCACCATTGCGTTCTGACGAACTTGCACATCTGCTACAAACCTATGTTTATGAAATTGTAAGAAGCAGAAGTGATGTAATTTCTGACGATTAAAAATATGTATCATCAAAGTTGGTTCAAAGAAATCCTTTCGAGTATCACTTATCTAAAGAAGAGCATATTCTCAAGTACAGCGTAAATAAGCTAGACATATCTCTCTACTGAAAGGAGAGTCCTCTGAAAACCCCAAAGACATCTAATAAAAGCAGAACTGAAAGTTTACAGTAAATAAAATATTTGAGAATTCCAATTTCATGCCTCTTCTGAGATACGAATATGAAAAAACGAGATTATATCGCCTATAATTAAATCAATGGAACCAAAGTTGACCAATTCAAAGCCACAACACTGTGACTGGTTCAACTCCTCTCCTCCTTCCTGCGTGGCGCCATCATGCGTTGTAGACGTCGCCATCTGTCGACAAGATACACGATTGTTATTCGTCGCTTATGGCAGCACAGAAACGTCAAATAAACACACTTCTGAAACAATTAAAATGATCTAATTTCCAGAAAATACGATTTTATGGCACCGTCTAGTCAAGAACGCATTAATTACGTATCCTATGCAATTTGAACACTTAGCTTCTTGAAAAAATTGAGAGCCATTGTAAACTTCACTTCGGATTATTCCATTATGGACACCTACAAGCAACCACACAATTTGCTCACAATAACATGCGCGAAAACAAATTACGTCGTAAAAATTAAGCAAAAACGCCGCTGTGCATGCAGGATTTTTGTACCTAACTCGCGGTGTTGGAATGGCACCACACGCCAGTAGCTGCCAGCATTCAAACGGCAACCACGAGTAAGGGTGATGTTGGCTAGTCTAATTAAGCGGCCAGAGGCGCTCCTGGAAAATGTCAAATTTCAATATTGTATATTAAGTTTGTGATAATAAAAGGTAATTTCTCTGGGTTTTCATTAAAATTTTTTATGACAATGCTGGCGGGAGCGTATTGTGAATAAAAAGCCTCATTTTAATTAGGTCAGGATTGGTTCTGATTTGGGGAAGTCCGGCGTGGTAAACGTGTTCTGAAAATTCTTATATTTAAGCGTTCGAGCGTTATTTTGTTAAAGATTGCCGCAATCCAGCATGCAATTGGGTACAAAATTAGATGAAAATGCACAATTTGATGTATTAAATGATATTTTTGCAAGTCTTATTAATTTCAAAATTGCAATTATTTAAAAAAAAACTAGTAACTTCTGTAAGGAGTGAGGATCAACTGCAAAATTTCAAATTATCTATGGTGCATATATACGGTACCTGTCATAGAACTGTGAAATTTGCAATTCAACCGAAATACTTTATTCTCCTTCAGCAAATTTTGAAAGAATAAGAAGCAGTATACCAGTATTCCCATATGGCATTCAACCATTGAATGAATCAAGAATTAAATGCCAGTGGTTGTAACTTGCAAGGCATTGTGAACCACCTCCAATAACTAAGTAAAGCTTTTATGGCTCTGATCCCACCATTCTAGGACAATTAAATCCATCTAGATTCTAGACTAATGCACACTTTTCTGTTTTTAGCAATATTTTCCAACATTGTAGATTCAATCCCCATCCATTTTTAGCCGACTGTGTTTGTAAGCAGAGATGGAATCCTCTTTCGCATCTTTCCAAATGCTATAATTTTATCTGCATGATAGAAACCTTGCAGTTTAACTTGAAGTACCAGTCTATTGGTAGTAGCCTAGTAGGTGCTACAATCAACTACTGTACACAGTGAGTGACCGCCACTCCCTTTGCCCAGCGCCGCTGGACGGCCGCATGGTTGAATTCCAGGAAGTGGTTGGTCAATGACCAACCACTTCCTAAATCCTTAACGACCAATGGTCATTAATGATTTGGGTGCAGGAGCGCTGTAGTGTGCGCTCGTTCTGGGCGTCCTGGTCCCTTTGGAGGGAAATGCGTTCCTATTTTGCATGGTTGCACTGGTTACCTGCCCACCTACCCAACCCAAGGTTTTTCAAATTTCAATAAAAAAACGGGTTTACCTAAGAAACCCAGAGTAAAAGTGTAAAAAGTGGGTTTTAAAGAAAACTTAAGAATTGGTCAAAATTATATTATGTTTGAATTTCAGAATGCAGTAAGACTGAATAGATACTATCAAAATTACATCTATTAAGCCTTTTTGAACAAATTTAGTCATCCCATATCTGAATAGTGCAAGCCTCTAAAAATTGATTAGAGTCCTAAGACATACCCACTACCCACCCACTTTGAAGTTACCAAAATATTACTTGGTCCCCTAACTTGCTTCACAAGTCATTCAAGACATATCCCAATGACATGAAATTAAATAAGTGACCACCAGATATTTCCTCAGAATCAAAGTCAACTAAGGGGAGCAAAGTTAATAGACTTTTGTGATTTGTCTGTTTTGCCATTTAGTCACTTGATATTATGGCTCCTTAAAAGAAGTCAACTCATAAAAGACTAATAAAAGAAAGGCTGGTTATGAAAAAAGATCAAACCATATAGGCTATAGGCATGTTATTTTTTCAAGACAAAATGAGAGAATTTTTTGCAGGAGGTGGGCCTAATTTTACAATTTTTTAGAATACTTGGTTTTCATCATCATCAGTATCATGGAACATGGATAATGGATTCCATGATAGGACACTTTGCTGGTCTACTTATAAGACTTAAAATTGAACTAGAAGGCAAGTCTAAAAAACTGCGGCAAAGTCCCATCTCTCAACCCTCCACTCCCCGCTCCTGGCTCCCCAAGACCCCACAGGGCCCACACTGACTTTAATGACTTATCCTCCTCTCCCTCAGGCCTCAACCTCCACAGTCCATGTGTTTTCCAAAAATCTCTTCACACTCTCAAACATAGCCACAGATGCTTCCCCAGACAAACCCACAATTTGGCCACAAAGCCACAATCATTGCCATCCAGTCATTCCAGTGACATCCATGATACACCCTTGACCCTTCCCTTGTTCTTGTTCTCTCATAGACTCATGCCCCCCTTTGTTAATCTCACCTCCCTCACTCAGAAATCAGAATCACCTCCATCAGCAATTCAGCATCATAGGCTGTTAGGCTGACAGCCTGAATTGCTCTCTCATCTCATAGGCTATGCCCCACATTCCATCAACAAGTGCACCACAGTTTCCTTCTCATCCCCAATTCCCCATCACAGTATCAGTACTATGATCACACAATAAACCTTCATCTTCCCTACTTTCATTCCACCTGTATGTAGGACAGTAGGAATAATAATGTAGCTACGACTTGTATCATGTATGTCCATTCACAGCAGCGCCCCACTGCCCCAGCTCCCACAGCCCACAGGCCCCGCCAGCCTGCCAGCCTGCCAGGGCCGCCACAATAGGCTACTCAGTACTCACCAGTCACCAGGAGTCCAAGACCTGAGGCTGAGAATACAATAAATTGACTCACCAGTGACACCACTTCAAGTTGTTGCTGCTGCTAGGGCTATGAGTTCTAGCTTGCAGTTCTGGTTCTTGTGACCTCTGACTCTGTCTCTGAGCATATCATTTATGGTCAAACAAGCTTTCGTTATTATAAGGCTCATCCGCGTTGACTTCGTAACTTCTACTCTGATAGCATAATCACTACTAAGTTCACGATGATTGAATAATTTTTCATCAATTTTTTCGACGAATGCCGTTATGCGCTGCAATTCACTTTGGTAGGCTCTGAGGTCGTTCAGAGTTGTATCATAACTCTCAGTGATTTGACTTACTTCATGGGCAATGTTTTTTGCCTCTTCGATCAACTGCGCTTTTATAACCTTATTTCGAAACATATCTTCAACAGAATTCATTCCGCAATATTCTCTTCTAAAAAAACACAGCCGCACTATTTGAGTCTCTAGGTAGCGTAGAATGAAGAGAAGGACTTACACAGGCCCCAGCCCAATTTCACAAATTAGCATAACGCGCCTTTCAATTTCAACCGCGGTCCGCGAGCCAAATGCCATGTGCACTGTGCAGAATGCAGATACTGCAGAATACAAATTTCGGTGCGCCTGAAAACTTTAAATTGCGCATTAATAATGGTTCTAATTTTATTGAAGGAGCAATTTATTGTTTTCGCAGTAACGCTGAAATTATATTATAATTTCTAAACAATTTAATCCGAATAAATTACAACAAATAAAAATAACTTGTGATTTGGATAAAATGCTAAATATTTTCCTCCAGTATAATAATAGCGGTTTCGGCGTTTATTAGGCCGTAGGCTTGTCGCCGATTCATAAGGGGGAGGTATCCCTAAAATTTTAGGATTTTGGCTTTTCTGGTATTTACTATCATCTTAAAGCTGACATTCTGCCCTATCCAACGATACCACTGCGATCCCTGTACGTGAATTTATACGTACATGACGGCTCTTTAAAGGGGGGCGGGTGTTGGAGCTCCTTCATTAATTAGATACAGGGTCCGCCAAAAAAACCTCCCTGATTTCAACAGGCTTTTGCAAAAATTATACGACACATACAAAACAATTAATTTTATTTGTGAATAGCTTATTTGATGCCATTTTACAGCAATTAGTGCACTTTACCTGGTTTTGAAAATTATGTTTGATAAATGATGTCCCCATTGTTAAGACATTCACGAAGCCTTTCCCTGAAGTTGCCCATAGTTCTTCGTGTAAATTCCCTTGGAATGGCTGCCACTTCCTGCCTAATGGCATGTTTTAGTTTTTTTAGCGGACCCTGTACAAGGTATTAGCTGCTGAGCATTTTAAATATGGTGTCTGATTGAGTTGCGCTTTAGTTACTCGTTTAGTCTCATCTTAAAGCTGACATTCTGAGCTTTCAAACGATACCACTGCGATCCCTGTACGTTAATTTATACGTACACGGCTGCTCTTTAAAAGGGGGCGGGGAGGGAGTTCCTTCAGTAAATAGATGGGAGGTAAATCGTTGGTCAGCACTAGATATATAGTTGTTTCTGGCATCAAGGCTCAGTCACCCTCCTCGCTTCGTACGGAGAGGTGTACTGCAAGTCGCTGCTACCATCTTTGAGTGGAAGGAAGCTACAGAAGCCTGTAGTTTGGTATCTATGCTACATTGAGTGCCTATTTCGAGGCGCGCGGGACTTTGTCGCGCTGTCCTGAAAAGTTTAACTTATTGCCACGGATAACCTATCTCCTCCTAGAGTTTTGAAGCTACAGCGATGAGACATATACCATTCGATTCGTTAAGACCATACCTATCGAGTAACGAAGCCCTTTTTTTAGATTTGTGCATAGTTTGGATTCAAAATGGGGAGGACGGGGGGAAAATCTGAAGAAAATGAGAAAAAATGGAAAAATGCGTGTAAAAAAAACTAAGGCAAAAATCGGGCTTCGTTACTCGATTGGTATGGTCTTTACGCATCGAATAATATGCGTCTCTATGTTGTAGCTTGAAAGCCCTAGGAGGAGATAGATTTTTACAGCACCCCCTTTTTTGTCCGTTTTCTATGAATTTCACGTTTTCCATCAATTTTTCCGAAAAAATCACATGAACAAAATGTGATTCTTTTGCGGTTTTACATATATGTGGGAAGTTTCACAAAGATCCGTCCGTAAACAAAAAAGTTTTTCCGGAGGGGATACCTCCCCCTTAATATCGCAGAACATTCACAGCATTTTACGGTCTCGAACTCATTGCTACAATTCTGCTCTACTTAACCGCTCGGCCTTCTTGCCGATTCGGTTCGCGAGTTATACGGCTTTACGTATACGGCTTATGGCCAATGCAAATTTAAAAATCGTCCTGAGAAATGCCGGTCCTTTCTCCGTATAACTCGTGAACGAAAGCAAAATCAACAAATTTGTCACAAACTAAACATCACCGTTGGGAGGTTAGGTATTCATATATAAAGTTTTGTTCATATCTGTTCAGTATTTTAGAAGTAATTTCTTTTTCACTGCGAACTTAAACACATCTTGCTGTTTAAATCACGAGTGAGGGGAAAATTGAAAAAAAAAAACTCGTGAACGAAGACTGAATCGACACTTCTCCGGACCGGCCTGCGGACTCAAACGCAAAACTACACGCTCAACCGAATGACTCATAACTCCTACAATACTGAACGGATTTGCTTGAATTTTGGAATGTGAGTAGCTATTACTGAGGCGCTGCGGTAGGAATTATTACAGATTTTAAGATAAATTAGTTTTCAATTGCAACTAATAAACGTATTTTTTACTCACCCGAACGACTCATAACTCCTACAATACTGAACGGATTTGCTTGAATTTTGGAATATGAGTAGTTATTATCGATACGCTGCGGTAGGAATTATTACAGATTTTTTTATAAATTAGTTTTTTAATAATACGGAGCACCGAACTTCACGCTCACCTCGCAGGTTGGGCCCTAGCCAGGTCAAGTTTCAGTATTTTGTGGCATTAAAAAAAAAGAACTATGCTGTCTTAACCTAACCTACGAGTTGCCGTTTTTTAGCTATGAATTCTTGAAATAAAACGGGTAGCATTTTTAACTCAGGCTGGGTGAAATGAACGTGAAGTTTGGTTTTCCGTATTATCGAAAAGTAATTTATGTAAAAATCTGCAATAATTCCTGCCGCAGCGTATCAATAATAACTACTTATATTCCAAAATTCAAGCGAATCCGTTCAGTATTGTTGTAGTTATGAGTCGTTCGGTTGATTAAAAAATACGTTTATTGGTTTTAATTGAAAACTAATTTACCTAAAAATCTGTAATAATTCCTACCGCAGCGTACCGATAATAACTACTTATATTCCAAAATTCAAGCAAATCCGTTCAGTATTGTAGGAGTTATGAGTCGTTCGGTTGCTTAAAAAATACGTTTATTAGTTTTAACTGAAAACTAATTTACGTAAAAATCTGTAATAATTCCTACCGCAGCGCATCAGTAATAGCTACTCGCATTCCAAAATTCAAGCAAATCCGTTCAGTATTGTAGGAGTTTTGAGTCGTTCGGTTGAGCGCGTAGTTAGGTTTTGCGTTTGAGTCCGCAGGCGGGTCCGGAGAAGTGTCGATTGAGTCTTTTCTATCGTAGATTACTTCTGGATTTGCACATTCATTTGCTTGACTGCGGAATTTAGAGCAAACCGAAAATAGATTTATGTTTAATGATTTTAGACAATATTTCTGAGTACTGCCAAACATGGGAGGATTTACCTACCGTAGCAAAGAGCAAACTCAGTTCTAATGTACTTTGAAGTCTATCCGTATGTCATCGTGCGAGAAAATAGAGCACAACTTTAGCAACCATGAGCGTGATAATATAAAATTTGGCATTGTTTGTGGCAGTCTAAGCAAGTTGGGAAACCAGCTATTGTTATTGACTTTTGTGAAGTTCATAAAAGAACTTCGAATAAATTTCAGTGAGCTATGCACTGATAGCGGAAAATGAGGGAAACAGGAAGGAAATGCCAGGTGACACCCGAGAAAATGTATGTAAATATGGAAAATAAAAAATGACGTTTCGCAGTTTTCTATCGCATACAAGTCTTCTCAAGTATTTATGGAGTAACAAAATAAACAAGAACACTCGTCATGAACACGTACAATTTTTTAGCATAACAAATCACCATAGGAGAATTACCTCGCAAACAAAACTAGAAGTCACAAAAATTTTTTTGTCACATTTTTTTATACCAAACGACGAGTGTAACTAGAATACAATAAATAACAAATACAAGCATTACTAGACCATAAAAAAAGCTCTTATTCCAAGAGATGATTTGCCATGACATTGGAGCAGTTTCTTCAGTGCCAATTAGGTAATAAAATAGGTATCTGAGTGGCTTTAAAAGGCTGAGAATTAAATATTCAAGATGTTATTTCTTTTTCTTGCTGGATTTGCTAGGCGCTGAGAGGGATGACACGTCTACACCTAAGGCAACAGCGAGCTCGGACTTGAGCTGCAGTAGCTTAGTGACTTCGGCAGCAACGGCGTCCTTGGAGGCGCCGCTGCTCTTGAGAGTGCGCACTGCTTCGCCCTGATATGCAAGTAATCCGTGTTGAATGAAAACTTACGAGCCTTCTTCTGCTTCTTGTCTTTAGCAGGAGGGACGGCAGGGGCGCCCTGGGCTTGCGCAAGCTGGTTCTTCAGCTGCAGCAGCGTAGCAACGTCTGCTGATATGTCTGCCTTGGACGCTCCTCCGGCTTTTAATGCTCGAACTTTGTCTCCCTGTTCCAGAACATTTATAGTTGAAAAGTAGTAGTTCAAAATTATTGTAAATTAAATTTAAAAGTTTTTGACAGCAATCATAAAATATTGTTCATAAAAAAATAAGTAAGCTGTAAAATTGCGCATCGTTTCAAAAAAATGTGCTTCAATTTTGATAACAGAATGAACATTATCGTCAGAGCTTATTCGATTATATTTTAAGAAGCAACCGTGTAGGAAAATTTAGTGACACAGAAATACCTCTTTACATATTCACCCCTATAAACACACCCTACCTGTTCATCAATCATCTTTTTGAGGCTTTCGATATCAACATTAACTATAGCTGGAAGAACAACGGCTGAATTCTTCTTGACTTGACATTTAGCCGCGCTGTCATCTGTGCCCTTGAATTGAAGCTGCCACTGCTGCAGTTCTTCATCGGTTATCTTCTTGATGAGAGGCTCAGGTTTTGTGACTTTGCAGCCAGAAGGCACAGCGTGAGGTAACGCGGTGGGCAGGCGCCAATGTGTGGCATCAGGAAGGTTCATTATCTGCAGAATCTTGGCAGATGTGTCGGGCATGTATGGCTGCAGACACACAGCAACTAGAAACACAAGGTTTGCAGATACTGAAATGACGCTGGCACCTCGCTCTTTATCTTCAGTAGATCGATCAGGTTTGATAAGTTTATAAGGTTCGTTGTCCTGGATGTATTGGTTGCCTATCCTTGTCATGGCAAGGATGTGGCGTAGTCCATCACGTAGTCTGACGTTACTAAGAGCATTGTGGTAATTGAAAAGCTCATGATTCACAGCTGCCATTACTTTGAAGTCGTCTTCATTTGGCTTTGCTTCGGGAACCAAACCATCATAAAACTGGCTCACAAACTTCAAAGACCTGTTAACAAAGTTGCCCAAGTTGTTAAGCAATTCAGTATTATTCTTCATCTGAAGATCAGCCCATGAAAACACAGTGTCTTGGGACTCAGGTCGAATGTACAGCAAATAAAACCTCCACACGTCGCTCGGAATGCCAGTTTTCATTGCCTGGTCACCGAAGACACCCACGCCACGACTCTTGGAGAATTTCCCGTCTTCGTAGTTGAGGTACTCAGTCGCCATGAGGTGCGTCACTCGGGTCCATGGCTTAGGACTTCCGGTGAGAGTACAAGGGAAAATTATGCCGTGGAACGGCACGTTGTCTTTAGCCATGAACTGATAAAGGTTAACTTGGTCGGGGTTCTTCCACCACATTTCCCAGTCTTTGGTATACTCCTTGGTGATGCTAAGGTAGCCAATGGGAGCATCAAACCACACATAGAAAACTTTATCGTCGTATCCCTCAAGTGGCACGGGTACACCCCACTTCAGGTCTCGGGTGATGCATCGTGCCAAGAGTCCATCACGAAGCCACGTGTTGCAGATAATACTTGCGTTGCTGCTCCAGTTTTTAGAGGATTCCACAAACCACTCACGCAATTTACCTTCTATTTTAGGCAAATCTATAAAAAGGTGATTGGAAGATTTAATCTTTGGAGTCTTGGAGCAGAGTTTGCAGCGAGGATTGACGAGATCCACAGCATTCACGAGCTTACCACATCCATCGCACTGGTCACCTCGGGCGTCCTCGTACCCACAGCCAACATGAGGACATGTGCCCTCAGCGAATCTATCCGCCAAGAAACGAGAGCAATGCTCACAGAAAAGCTGCTCCATGGACTCCCTTGAAATCTTGCCCTCTTTCTCCAAGTCCCAGAACAGTTCATGAACTATCTCAGTCTGGCTTGGAGTCGTTGTGCGTCCAAAATAATCAAAACTGATGTTGAAATCCTTGTAGACGTCTGAATGGATTTTGTGGTACTTGTCGCAGATTTGCTGTGGGGTTAGACCTTCCCCTATAGCTTTGGTCTCCGTTGCAGTGCCATACTCGTCTGTACCGCAGATGTAAGCCACGTTGTCGCCTCGCAGTCGGCAAAACCTGGCGACGGCATGGAGCATTGAGCAGGTGACAGTACTAAAATTGTGCAGGTGGCAGTACTAATATCGTACAGGGGGCAGTATTGAATATTGGGCAGGTGGCAGTACTAATATCGTACATGAGGCAGTATTGAATATTTTACAGAGGGCAGGCACAATGAATGCAGTTTACAGTGATTAAATTAAAACATAACAATATGTATGTGAAAGTTCATTCATTATACCTGACATAAAAATATGTGTGTAAATATTTCCTTATTTACCAGGCATAAAGTGATAAAATTTATCCATTTTACCCGACATAAAAATATCTGTAAATATTTCGTTATTTCCCAGGCATAACGTGAGAACATCTACTAATTTTACCGAGCCTGAACGAGAACATTAATCAATTTTACCTGGCATAACAGTCAGCAGAGAGGACACAGCCACTACTTATTTTACCTGGCCTGAATGAGAACATCTATCAATTTTACCTGGCATAACAGTCAGCAGAGAGGACGCAGNTGGAATGTCATTAGACTAAAAGCAACCTTGATGGCTGGAATGTCATTAGACTAAAAGCAACCTTGATGGCTGGAATGTCATTAGACTAAAAGCAACCTTGATGGCTGGAATGTCATTAGACTAAAAGCAACCTTGATGGCTGGAATGTCATTAGACTAAAAGCAACCTTGATGGCTGGAATGTCATTAGACTAAAAGCAACCTTGATGGCTGGAATGTCATTAGACTAAAAGCAACCTTGATGGCTGGAATGTCATTAGACTAAAAGCAACCTTGATGGCTGGAATGTCATTAGACTAAAAGCAACCTTGATGGCTGGAATGTCATTAGACTAAAAGCAACCTTGATGGCTGGAATGTCATTAGACTAAAAGCAACCTTGATGGCTGGAATGTCATTAGACTAAAAGCAACCTTGATGGCTGGAATGTCATTAGACTAAAAGCAACCTTGATGGCTGGAATGTCATTAGACTAAAAGCAACCTTGATGGCTGGAATGTCATTAGACTAAAAGCAACCTTGATGGCTGGAATGTCATTAGACTAAAAGCAACCTTGATGGCTGGAATGTCATTAGACTAAAAGCAACCTTGATGGCTGGAATGTCATTAGACTAAAAGCAACCTTGATGGCTGGAATGTCAGAAAGTTGTCCGATATAGCGCTGCACGGAGCTGTAGTTGGCCAGTAGAGGAGCAGCTGATGGTGTAGCTGTCAGCAGCAGCAATGAACTATAAATCACGACATCACTTGCTTCCAGCACCTGCTCATCAAAAAGTTGTGTTACCATTTCAAAGCTGAAATTAATTTGATTCAATTTGAAGGACATGATATGAACATCATTTTTCATGTTTGGAGAGACACAAAAACTTAGCTTAGAAATATATCATCCATATTATACAAATTATTTAACTGTGAGGAAAAAAACCTGGTTGTTAGGCAAATCATGTATGCATTCTAAGTCAATTCGTTTTCAAATATATTGCCTGCAATGTGATACTCACATGCCCACAGATGAAGGTTGACAGTTTGAGCTGCTGCTCCAGCTGAGAAAGACACTTCAACAACGCTGCTGTGGCGGCTGCATCCACCTTGTTTGCAACACATCCTTGCAAAAAGCTCCATGTTGCCCTCTGTGAAATATACATACAACAAAAATTTATTGAACATATCCAAAGGATTCTCAGTTGCACTGTAAATGTAAGGACATGATTTAAGATATTAGTCAAAATTTTTTTATTTGATTCATAAATTTTTGGAAACCATAGTAGCCAAAAAACTAACAGAGGAGCTATTGGACACCTTCTTCTATTCAAAAGTTATTGTACATCATGCTACAAAACTAAGGGTTAAAATTTTATTGTCAAGAGATAGGTAAACATGAGATATTGACAACTAAGGATGATATTATAATATCTTACATTGTCAGAACTAAGAAGAATGCATTAACTGAAATAAATGCATTACATTTAGTGAATATTGTTAATTTTAATTAAAACCGTGATGAAAAATGGCCAAAAAAGCAATTTACCTGAAACTGGGATGCTTCCCAATAGAGCCATTCAGCCTGTGCATCATCAATAAGGGCATCTGAATCAGCTTTGAATTTTGCCAGAAGGAACAGCACAGCAGAGTTGGGGGAGAGGTTAAGTAACACTCCTGTACGTAGGTCAGTAACTTGTAAGGCTGCTCCATCATGAATGCCTGAAGGAAAAAAAAGAAAACATAATTTAGACATTCAGACATATTCATACAAGGTTATAGAATTTCATAAACTACACTTAAATAGACCAAAAAAAAAGCATTTTTGTTTTAGTCTAAGCACAATTTTTCAGAGCTATTGCAGAATATTTTGAACATGAGAAATAGAATTTAATAAGTAATTCAAACAAATGCATAATAAGATATTAAAAATTTCTCTACATATACCTACAAAAATGATTAGGTGCTGAGAAACAGTCTTCTTCAAAGTAGCAATATTATAAGATTTAACTATAAATAGGGACAGCTCCTAATGGAAATCTATCACTGTACCTTTCTCATTTTTGATCATAGCATCCTTTCCAGAAATATTCAACGCAGCAGTGATTTTAAATCCATTTGGATGAAGTGCTTGAATATCTGTATGTAAAAACATTGTACTCTGAAAAAATGAATGAATTTTATTAGTGAATTTATATCACTTGTTTGCTTAAATTGCAAATTAACTAAGAATTTAAAAGCAAAGAAAAGTCCACAAAAATTCATATCTATCATATAGCACGTTTTCTATAAAGATATGAATTTTTGTGGACTTTTCTTTGCTTTTGAATTTTATTAGTAAATAAGAAAATTATCTATAGACCATACGTAGTCTAGTTTATTCAAGCACAAGTTTTTCATTAATATATTCTTTTTTTTTTTCTTGAAACAGTCGATTTTTGTAATACAATTTTTGAGCTTAAGATTTTTGTTCTGCATGACCAGAACAAGGTGGAATAATGGAATTGAAGAAATAAATTAACTGGTATCTACAAATTTAAATGATAGAATGCAGGTTAGGTATTAAGACCAAAAGATATGCCCATAACTACAGATGGTAGATAAGAATGCAAATACAATGCAACGCTGATGCATCTTGAAGACTGCTGGCGATGCCGCAACACATCTTGGGTATTTTCGGCAAAGTTTTTGATCTACAAATGTAAAAATTGGAGACACATTCACCAAACTCTGCACCCAGGTCAGACATGGGCAGGACATGATTGATAGGTACTGCAAATTCTAGAAATGTACCATTGTACCATGCAGACATCCACCAGGCTTTAGAGTAGGGCCTTATAGCTCGAAATATTGGCGTCTTGAAAATCTTCATTAACCACCTTTACCTTACATAGCGTCTTTTGAGGATCTACATCAGCCATCCTGACTTTCAATCAGCATCCTGGTTGCCATGGCCTGGAAGGTGTGGCAGAGGTTTATTTCAAGATGTACACCAGAATGTCAGGGAAGAAATTTGCCAGTATGTTTGCTAAATAACAAATGTGCAACTCTGACCGATGCTTGATTGTCAACGTGGACACATGCGCTTTATGATCAATGTGGCCAATGATCGATGATTGACATGTCATAACACCGCATTAAAACATAACATAGAACAACAACAAATTATACCACAAAATATCATAAAAGAACACATTGTAACACAACATATCATAACAGAACACATTGTAACACAACATATCATAATACAGCACATATTAAAACATTATGGTATAACTCAACCCAACACATTATAACGCATAATGTATAACCACAGATAATAACACAACATAACATAATACAAGATAATATAACAGGACACATTATAACACAACACAATATAATATAATGCAGTTTAACACATCACAATATAATAGAACACATTACAACACAAAAAAAACATAGCACAGTATAACAACATAACACATCACAAGGCTTATAACAAATCCTAAAATGACCCAACTCATTATAACACAGCCTAATCTGTAATGTTATTATTATGTTCTGTTGTGCTGTATTATAATTTGTTCTATTATATTATGATGTGTTAAACTGTATTCTATGTTATGTTACAATGTATAGTGTTATATCATGATGTTTTATGTTATGTTATAATGTGTGGAATTATATTATGTTGTGTTATAATGTGTAGTCACTGTAGTGTTATGTTGTTAACTTGTCATTATAATATGTTGTGAAATGTGTTTGGTTGTTATGCACTATGCAGTGATGTGTGCTGTGTTGTTTATGTTATGCGTTACGCCACATTGATCATAAAGCGCATCAGTTTTCATCATTGAGCATCAATTCCATCAATTCTAAAGGGCATGACTCTATGTCAATCATCGAACCTTGGCCAAGTCAATCATAAAGCGCATTCATCAGTGTCGATCCCTGAGCCTCGGCCAGAACAATCATGAAGTGCTTGCATAATGCATCAGATGATCAGTGTCAATCATTGGGCATTGGCCAAATCTATCGTAAACATGTGCATTTGTGTCAATCATTGGCATTATCCAAATTGATAATAAAGCGCTTGTGTCTCTGTTGAAAGTGTTGATCATCCAGCATTTGTCACATTGATTATAAAGCATGTGCATCCATGTCAATCATCGGGCATTGGTCAGAGTTGTACTTTCATTTTTTTAGCAAGCATACTGGCAACTTTCTTCCCTATCCCTGGCGTACATCCCAAAATAAACATTTGGCTTACACCCCGCGCACGCAGGCTGCCCGCTGCAGCCATATCATACATAAGAAATCGGGTTAAATACTGAGTAGATTATCAAATTACAAATGAACAGAATCAACAGATTCTGAAAATCTGGGGTTTGTCACTATGCAGCCACTCCAGCAGCAGCCTGCAGGCATCTATTAAAATATTTTTCATATACAATGCTAATTAGGAACTAAAAAACTTAGGTATAATGATCATAGTGAATAGGCAATACGCCGCAATAGGTGGGCCTACTGCAATAAATTAGGTAACTCAAAATTTCATGGCCTAAAATTTTTATGGCTTTTCACTTTTCAGTTAAACTCACAGAAAGTTAGGTAATTACTTCAACAACTGAAGTTCTGAACAACAGTTATAGTAAAAGTAGGCCTAACTTATAATAACTTTTATAAGTATATAATAAATTTATATAAATATAACATAAGTAAAACAAATTGGAAGGTAAAAAATATGGCAAATGAGCAATGACATATGATATTGACAAGTGACAACTTCAATAATGACAAGCAATCTATTATTATGATAGTTTATTTGCACTTTGCACTGGCAGTCTGGCACAGGCACTGAGGCTGACTGAGCCACTGGAGACTGGGCAGTGGCCAGTGGGCACTGGGCACTGTGCACTCACTGCACTGACTTACTGAGCAGTGCAGTTGTACCTAAATAATACGCAATTACGCACGCATGATGGCAAATTAAAATTGGTAATTATGGCATATCATAAGCAATGTATATGTACTGATTCTACTGAATATAGTAAATTAGTAAGTAGCCTAAGTAGGCACTAGACATTACACATTAGACAATAACTACTAAAAGTGCCAATGATAATTATTAATCCTAGAAGTAGAATCTTAGTCTACTCAGCCTGCTTCAATTCAAAATGTCTTGTGAAGTTGTGTTGTGTACAGACGTACAGTGTAGCACACTAAGCACAGTAGCAGTCTTTCTCAGTCATTTAATATTTTTAGACATTTAATAACATTTCTCACGAAAGCCACTTGGCTCTAGAGACTAGACGTGCTTAAGAAGTTAACATGTTGCATTAATTTTTGTTGCATTGAGATTTAATTTCTATTGATGCTATTTTTGAATACAATGCGCCTCTATACATAATATAGAATAGATCACTTCTCCTCTTCAGTTTGTGTACTTGCATACATTAAAATACGATTTTTCAAGTGTACGAATAGGTATTTATTTCCCCCACTGTATATAGTACAATGTATAAGCCTACAAGGGGGTAATTGAGAAGATTTTAAATGAAACAAAGGATCTAGGAAACACTCTTCATTCTTCAATGATGACAGAACCACTCCACGCAGAACGATTATATTATTCATCATGATCAGTATCATCACGATCTCCAAGAATAATTTTCCGATAGCTACGTTCGAAATCGTGCACCAATCACCATCAGATTATTGAAACCCACAACAGAGAACTGTTGAACAATCCCTTGACTACAGGCACCCAACTAGAGTGAACATTAAATGTAAGAATAGTCTTCCTGGTTCACTAAAAGGCAGAAGATGATGGCAAATGGCAACTCATTATATTCTTGATTGCGTCGTAGCCGAAATTAGCATGAAGGAGGCTCGGTATAATTATTATGGCAGTTTAACAAAGTTTTGATTTAATTAATATCATCTCGTGACTAATTTCAGTGTTCGTGTAAATTTTCGTCGACCAAAGCTACAACAGTTACGAAGTCTCAATAAACGCTCAAAATCGTCTTGCCGCTAGATATGTTTGTGCTATTGAGTTAAAAGACAAAATGACGAAAACATCTCTTACTTGTGTCCATCGTTCGATTAAATAATTCTTCACCTATAATTAAACTGATCAATAACGTACGTATATATTCGCCTATATTAATTGTTACGTAGTACATGGCCGCACCCCTGAATGGTTACAATTATTTTGTAATTGATTTCGAAAGGTCAAATGTGCCCCAATGAATAATTATTTGTGCCCTGATGAACAGCTTTCTTTGTGCACGTTATATCTGATTTTTAAATATTATGTTTTACTTCTAGCTCATAATACCGTCAGTGTAAATGATTGAACTGGTTAGAAATGAAGTTCTAAAGATTCAATGCTTATTTAAAGAATCAAGGTTCATTATAATCATATTTATCAAGCGCCAATGTTTAATAGGAATAAAAGTCTATGTGATATTTGATATCTATATTCTATGCATGAATGCATGGACTTGTCTAAGAACGATCACAGCAATTGTGTAATCAATTGTGATTAAGTTAATGTGAAACTATTTCGAAGTCATTTGGTATATGACGTTTGTAAATTTGAATTTTTAAATTTGACATTCAATTCAATTATCGCTCGGATCAATTTTTTCTGCTTTCATGTCCGAATTTCACTCTCACTACCTATAGTAGCTTCTCATTCTTTCGCTTAAACTCTTATAAAGTCCTTAGAATTTGTAGATACATATATAGTTAAAACAGTCGCTTCTTGTTTTATTTTCACATATTTAATTGTTTAAATGAATGAAACTCCATTTATACACTGTATAAATGGAGTTTCATTTCAGAAGTAGGCTACCCTAATATTATTGACCTTGGAATCGGTTTATCTTGAAACGAATGAAGCTAAATAAATATTAATTACCAATCTTATATAATTTGTTCGAAGGATCTTAGGTAGGGACAAGTTGGTTACAAGAGGACAAATGAAAATTTAAATAGAAAACAAAAGATTGATTTCCTTTTAGAATACGAAATGCTAGATAAAACTAAGCTTCATGTACTGAAAGCTGAGCATTGCTAACGAACAATATTTAGGGTAGTGCAATTTCTATCATAAAGTGAACACGTTCGTGAAATTTCACCTAAAGTTGGACATGTTTTGAAAAAGCGCGTAA